AGTGATGATGGCGCGACACAGAGACACGAGAAAATTCCCACTGGAAGCGACTTGGTGGACTTGATTGACCTGATGTGTCTCACTCACCTGAGTCGCAGTTGAGTGGGCTGTCGGCCTCGGGGTGGCAGAGGAGAGTGATGATGGCGCGACACAGAGACACGAGAAAATTCCCACTGGAAGCGACTTGGTGGACTTGATTGACCTGATGTGTCTCACTCACCTGAGTCGCAGTTGAGTGGGCTGTCGGCCTCGGGGTGGCCGAGGAGAGTGATGATGGTGCGACACAGAGACACGAGAAAATTCCCACTGGAAGCGACTTGGTGGACTTGATTGACCTGATGTGTCTCACTCACCTGAGTCGCAGTTGAGTGGGCTGTCGGCCTCGGGGTGGCAGAGGAGAGTGATGATGGCGCGACACAGAGACACGAGAAAATTCCCACTGGAAGCGACTTGGTGGACTTGATTGACCTGATGTGTCTCAGTCACCTGAGTCGCAGTTGAGTGGGCTGTCGGCCTCGGGGTGGCAGAGGAGAGTGATGATGGCGAGACACAGAGACACGAGAAAATTCCCACTGGAAGTGACTTGGTGGACTTGATTGACCTGATGTGTCTCAGTCACCTGAGTCGCAGTTGAGTGGGCTGTCGGCCTCGGGGTGGCAGAGGAGAGTGATGATGGCGCGACACAGAGACACGAGAAAATTCCCACTGGAAGCGACTTGGTGGACTTGATTGACCTGATGTGTCTCACTCACCTGAGTCGCAGTTGAGTGGGCTGTCGGCCTCGGGGTGGCAGAGGAGAGTGATGATGGCGCGACACAGAGACACGAGAAAATTCCCACTGGAAGCGACTTGGTGGACTTGATTGACCTGATGTGTCTCACTCACCTGAGTCGCAGTTGAGTGGGCTGTCGGCCTCGGGGTGGCCGAGGAGAGTGATGATGGTGCGACACAGAGACACGAGAAAATTCCCACTGAAAGCGACTTGGTGGACTTGATTGACCTGATGTGTCTCAGTCACCTGAGTCGCAGTTGAGTGGGCTGTCGGCCTCGGGGTGGCAGAGGAGAGTGATGATGGCGCGACACAGAGACACGAGAAAATTCCCACTGGAAGCGACTTGGTGGACTTGATTGACCTGATGTGTCTCACTCACCTGAGTCGCAGTTGAGTGGGCTGTCGGCCTCGGGGTGGCAGAGGAGAGTGATGATGGCACGACACAGAGACACGAGAAAATTCCCACTGGAAGCGACTTGGTGGACTTGATTGACCTGATGTGTCTCACTCACCTGAGTCGCAGTTGAGTGGGCTGTCGGCCTCGGGGTGGCAGAGGAGAGTGATGATGGCGCGACACAGAGACACGAGAAAATTCCCACTGGAAGCGACTTGGTGGACTTGATTGACCTGATGTGTCTCACTCACCTGAGTCGCAGTTGAGTGGGCTGTCGGCCTCGGGGTGGCAGAGGAGAGTGATGATGGCGCGACACAGAGACACGAGAAAATTCCCACTGAAAGCGACTTGGTGGACTTGATTGACCTGATGTGTCTCAGTCACCTGAGTCGCAGTTGAGTGGGCTGTCGGCCTCGGGGTGGCAGAGGAGAGTGATGATGGCGCGACACAGAGACACGAGAAAATTCCCACTGGAAGCGACTTGGTGGACTTGATTGACCTGATGTGTCTCACTCACCTGAGTCGCAGTTGAGTGGGCTGTCGGCCTCGGGGTGGCAGAGGAGAGTGATGATGGCGCGACACAGAGACACGAGAAAATTCCCACTGAAAGCGACTTGGTGGACTTGATTGACCTGATGTGTCTCAGTCACCTGAGTCGCAGTTGAGTGGGCTGTCGGCCTCGGGGTGGCAGAGGAGAGTGATGATGGCGCGACACAGAGACACGAGAAAATTCCCACTGGAAGCGACTTGGTGGACTTGATTGACCTGATGTGTCTCACTCACCTGAGTCGCAGTTGAGTGGGCTGTCGGCCTCGGGGTGGCAGAGGAGAGTGATGATGGCGCGACATAGAGACACGAGAAAATTCCCACTGGAAGCGACTTGGTGGACTTGATTGACCTGATGTGTCTCACTCACCTGAGTCGCAGTTGAGTGGGCTGTCGGCCTCGGGGTGGCAGAGGAGAGTGATGATGGCGCGACACAGAGACACGAGAAAATTCCCACTGGAAGCGACTTGGTGGACTTGATTGACCTGATGTGTCTCAGTCACCTGAGTCGCAGTTGAGTGGGCTGTCGGCCTCGGGGTGGCAGAGGAGAGTGATGATGGCTCGACACAGAGACACGAGAAAATTCCCACTGGAAGCGACTTGGTGGACTTGATTGACCTGATGTGTCTCACTCACCTGAGTCGCAGTTGAGTGGGCTGTCGGCCTCGGGGTGGCAGAGGAGAGTGATGATGGCGCGACACAGAGACACGAGAAAATTCCCACTGGAAGCGACTTGGTGGACTTGATTGACCTGATGTGTCTCACTCACCTGAGTCGCAGTTGAGTGGGCTGTCGGCCTCGGGGTGGCAGAGGAGAGTGATGATGGCGCGACACAGAGACACGAGAAAATTCCCACTGGAAGCGACTTGGTGGACTTGATTGACCTGATGTGTCTCACTCACCTGAGTCGCAGTTGAGTGGGCTGTCGGCCTCGGGGTGGCAGAGGAGAGTGATGATGGCGCGACACAGAGACACGAGAAAATTCCCACTGGAAGCGACTTGGTGGACTTGATTGACCTGATGTGTCTCACTCACCTGAGTCGCAGTTGAGTGGGCTGTCGGCCTCGGGGTGGCAGAGGAGAGTGATGATGGCGCGACACAGAGACACGAGAAAATTCCCACTGGAAGCGACTTGGTGGACTTGATTGACCTGATGTGTCTCACTCACCTGAGTCGCAGTTGAGTGGGCTGTCGGCCTCGGGGTGGCAGAGGAGAGTGATGATGGCGCGACACAGAGACACGAGAAAATTCCCACTGGAAGCGACTTGGTGGACTTGATTGACCTGATGTGTCTCACTCACCTGAGTCGCAGTTGAGTGGGCTGTCGGCCTCGGGGTGGCAGAGGAGAGTGATGATGGCGCGACACAGAGACACGAGAAAATTCCCACTGGAAGCGACTTGGTGGACTTGATTGACCTGATGTGTCTCAGTCACCTGAGTCGCAGTTGAGTGGGCTGTCGGCCTCGGGGTGGCAGAGGAGAGTGATGATGGCGCGACACAGAGACACGAGAAAATTCCCACTGGAAGCGACTTGGTGGACTTGATTGACCTGATGTGTCTCACTCACCTGAGTCGCAGTTGAGTGGGCTGTCGGCCTCGGGGTGGCAGAGGAGAGTGATGATGGCGCGACACAGAGACACGAGAAAATTCCCACTGGAAGCGACTTGGTGGACTTGATTGACCTGATGTGTCTCAGTCACCTGAGTCGCAGTTGAGTGGGCTGTCGGCCTCGGGGTGGCAGAGGAGAGTGATGATGGCGCGACACAGAGACACGAGAAAATTCCCACTGGAAGCGACTTGGTGGACTTGATTGACCTGATGTGTCTCACTCACCTGAGTCGCAGTTGAGTGGGCTGTCGGCCTCGGGGTGGCAGAGGAGAGTGATGATGGCGCGACACAGAGACACGAGAAAATTCCCACTGGAAGCGACTTGGTGGACTTGATTGACCTGATGTGTCTCACTCACCTGAGTCGCAGTTGAGTGGGCTGTCGGCCTCGGGGTGGCAGAGGAGAGTGATGATGGCGCGACACAGAGACACGAGAAAATTCCCACTGGAAGCGACTTGGTGGACTTGATTGACCTGATGTGTCTCACTCACCTGAGTCGCAGTTGAGTGGGCTGTCGGCCTCGGGGTGGCAGAGGAGAGTGATGATGGCGCGACACAGAGACACGAGAAAATTCCCACTGGAAGCGACTTGGTGGACTTGATTGACCTGATGTGTCTCACTCACCTGAGTCGCAGTTGAGTGGGCTGTCGGCCTCGGGGTGGCAGAGGAGAGTGATGATGGCGCGACACAGAGACACGAGAAAATTCCCACTGGAAGCGACTTGGTGGACTTGATTGACCTGATGTGTCTCACTCACCTGAGTCGCAGTTGAGTGGGCTGTCGGCCTCGGGGTGGCAGAGGAGAGTGATGATGGCGCGACACAGAGACACGAGAAAATTCCCACTGGAAGCGACTTGGTGGACTTGATTGACCTGATGTGTCTCACTCACCTGAGTCGCAGTTGAGTGGGCTGTCGGCCTCGGGGTGGCAGAGGAGAGTGATGATGGCGCGACACAGAGACACGAGAAAATTCCCACTGGAAGCGACTTGGTGGACTTGATTGACCTGATGTGTCTCACTCACCTGAGTCGCAGTTGAGTGGGCTGTCGGCCTCGGGGTGGCAGAGGAGAGTGATGATGGCGCGACACAGAGACACGAGAAAATTCCCACTGGAAGCGACTTGGTGGACTTGATTGACCTGATGTGTCTCAGTCACCTGAGTCGCAGTTGAGTGGGCTGTCGGCCTCGGGGTGGCAGAGGAGAGTGATGATGGCGCGACACAGAGACACGAGAAAATTCCCACTGGAAGCGACTTGGTGGACTTGATTGACCTGATGTGTCTCACTCACCTGAGTCGCAGTTGAGTGGGCTGTCGGCCTCGGGGTGGCAGAGGAGAGTGATGATGGCGCGACACAGAGACACGAGAAAATTCCCACTGGAAGCGACTTGGTGGACTTGATTGACCTGATGTGTCTCACTCACCTGAGTCGCAGTTGAGTGGGCTGTCGGCCTCGGGGTGGCAGAGGAGAGTGATGATGGCGCGACACAGAGACACGAGAAAATTCCCACTGGAAGCGACTTGGTGGACTTGATTGACCTGATGTGTCTCACTCACCTGAGTCGCAGTTGAGTGGGCTGTCGGCCTCGGGGTGGCAGAGGAGAGTGATGATGGCGCGACACAGAGACACGAGAAAATTCCCACTGGAAGCGACTTGGTGGACTTGATTGACCTGATGTGTCTCACTCACCTGAGTCGCAGTTGAGTGGGCTGTCGGCCTCGGGGTGGCAGAGGAGAGTGATGATGGCGCGACACACGGATGTGAGGGTCCAAGCTGGGCTCCATGCCGTCTTGAGGATGTCCAAACAGATCTCCCCGGTCTGCATGGCATGGCGTGGAAGGGGAGGAAGTGGAGGTAAGGGGGACGAAGGGGAGAGAGTGATGACGGAGTGCACACGCATGGGATGAAGTCCCTCGAGTGCACACGCATGGGATGAAAGTCCCTCGAGTGCACACGCATGGGATGAAGTCCCTCGAGTGCACACGCATGGGATGAAGTCCCTCGAGTGCACACGCATGGGATGAAGTCCCTCGAGTGCACACGCATGGGATGAAGTCCCTCGAGTGCACACGCATGGGATGAAGTCCCTCGAGTGCACACGCATGGGATGAAGTCCCTCGAGTGCACACGCATGGGATGAAAGTCCCTCGAGTGCACACGCATGGGATGAAGTCCCTCGAGTGCACACGCATGGGATGAAAGTCCCTCGAGTGCACACGCATGGGATGAAGTCCCTCGAGTGCACACGCATGGGATGAAAGTCCCTCGAGTGCACACGCATGGGATGAAGTCCCTCGAGTGCACACGCATGGGATGAAAGTCCCTCGAGTGCACACGCATGGGATGAAAGTCCCTCGAGTGCACACGCATGGGATGAAGTCCCTCGAGTGCACACGCATGGGATGAAGTCCCTCGAGTGCACACGCATGGGATGAAAGTCCCTCGAGTGCACACGCATGGGATGAAGTCCCTCGAGTGCACACGCATGGGATGAAAGTCCCTCGAGTGCACACGCATGGGATGAAGTCCCTCGAGTGCACACGCATGGGATGAAAGTCCCTCGAGTGCACACGCATGGGATGAAGTCCCTCGAGTGCACACGCATGGGATGAAAGTCCCTCGAGTGCACACGCATGGGATGAAGTCCTTCGAGTGCACACGCATGGGATGAAAGTCCCTCGAGTGCACACGCATGGGATGAAAGTCCCTCGAGTGCACACACATGGGATGAAAGTCCCTCGAGTGCACACGCATGGGATGAAAGTCCCTCGAGTGCACACGCATGGGATGAAAGTCCCTCGAGTGCACACGGGTGTGAGGGGCCAGGCAGAGCTCCATGCGGTCTTGAGGATGTCCAAACAGATCTCCCCCGTCTGGGTGGTAGGGCGTGGAAGAGGGAAAGGGGGGGGGGGGGAGAGGGGGTGCAAGGGGAAGGAGTAGGTGAGTGAGAGAAAGAAACGGGAGTCAGGTGAGAGAAACGGGAGTCAGGTGAGAGAAACGGGAGTCAGGTGAGAGACACACTGAAGCTGATTCCGTGCCATATGGATGATGTATAAAGTGCATTGGCCGAAATGTGATGACCCGGAGTTGACTGACCTTGAAATGCACTTGGGAGTGGAAGATCTTGGTTGACTTGAGTTGACTCAGAGTTGACTGACCTTGAAGTGCACGTTGGGGTGGAAGACCTTGGTAGCGAACCGCACTTGGGGCGGAACAAGAGGGTACTGCTGGGGCACGTTGATGGTGAGGGTGAATTGCCCTCCGTAATAAGGCGTGTCAGCTGGGCCCTGGGGAAGGAACACCGGGGCCAAGGGTAGGCAGCAGCGAGAGGCGGAGAGGGGGGGGAGGGGGAGTTGGGGGGGGAGGGAGGGAAGGGGCACACGGATCAGCCCTAGGCTTTGAGGCAGGGCTATTACGTATCATAGGTTGAATGTACTAAACAGCAGGGGGGGCTGAGTTACGAAGGGGTATAGGAAGATGCGGAATCAGTGATAATAGACGTCCATCTGTAAACGTTGCTCTCATCACAACCGTCACACCCTGCATACCTTGATGAGGGCCGTCCATCTGTAGATGTTGCTCTCATCACAGCTCAGGATGATGTCAGCATCGGCTGATCCCTTTGCCTCCCTCTGCGCCTCCTTCAGCTCCTTGAACAGCCGCGACCGCGACGCCTGGGATGGAATGAAGGAGAGGAAGGGATGGAACGAGATTCAGACAGAGGGGTGGGTGGGGAGAGAGGGGTTGTCAGCGTCAGCTGCTGCTACCCGTGCCTCCCTCTGCGAATCTTTGAGCTCCTTGAAAAGCCGCGACCGCGACGCCTGGGATTGAAGGGAAGAGTTTGAGATGGAGGGGGGTTAGTGGAAGGATGCACCTGATTGTCAACGTGTCCGCATGTCAGCATCTGCTGATCCCCGTGCCTCCCTCTGCGCCTCCTTCAACTCCCTCAACAGCCGCGACCGCAACGCCTGGGATTGAATGAACGAGATTGAAACAGGGGGGTGGGTGGGGAGATAGGAGTTGTCAGCGTCAGCTACTACCTTAGCCTGCCCCTGCGCATCTTTGAGCTCCTTGAAAAGCCACCACTGCGACACCTGCAAGTGGCGGGGGTGGAAACAGCAACAGCTCCTTGAAACCGCTCCTTGAAACAGCTTGGTGGGACGGCAAAAATCTGAGACGAATCTGGGAAAAAACTGAAAAGAATCCGCGACAAATCTGAGAAGAATCTGCGAAGAATCTGAGACGAATGTAAGATGAATGTGAGGAGAATTGTGCCAAGGCAGCCACGGAAAGTTTGTTGTGAGGGAGCTCAAAGAAAGGGAGAGCAAAATACAGGAAAAGCAGGGGAGCCGGAAAAACCAAGTCGACATGCACCCACCATGCAATACACCCACTACCATGCGACACATCACCAGCATGCGATGCACGTGCGACACACCCACCATACGACTCTATATCCTGCTGTCGCTCCTGCACGTGCTGGCTCTCACTGAACCGCCTTCCACGGCTTGTCCCTCGTCTTGCCTTTGTCTTTAACTTCCGTCCGTCCACTGCAGAGCGAGGAAGGCGGGGAAACGTGTCTTGAGACGTCTGGAAACGCGACTTGAGCACAGCCTATTCATCTCTTGCCACAGGTGTGCAACGCCGGGCGCGCAACGCCGGAAATCGCGACTAGTCGTCACTCCTGTTTCGTAACATGGCAATGCGTGCTAACCGCGACAGACGTGGAAAAAGAGTGACTAGGATCACGACTGGATGATTACGCAAATTCTGAACACGCATGCTGAGTCGTAATGGTAACCCTAAATCTGAACGCGCGAGTCTGCGAGACGGTCGCGAGAGGGAGACGAGGGTGGGTGCGACACACGCGAAAGGGGAGGCGAACATCCAGTTACGCACGCACCTGGGAAGATTGATTTTTTTACAAGCGGCTTCTTTAATACGTGCGAGCGTGCCACGACGGTTTTCGACCTACGTCGGTAGCGCGTTTGAGCGGTACGTGCAATTAGGAGCTGTATGAGAAGTAGCGAAAACCAACAGATTCCTACATAGAACTCTTATTTTTTTGTGGTAGGCTGACTGACAGCCCGCCAAAAATAGGAGAGTGGTCCTAGGGCTATCAGCCTGCCCTCGCGATTGACGAAAGCCTGCGGCGATTGTCACTCATATCGTCATGTAGCCCTTTCTGAAGTTACTCCTTACAATGGTGCTGTTCGCCAGGAAATCGTAATTTGAAATGAGGCATCGGCATCGCGACCGCATCTGGAAACGGAGGCAGAACCCACCTCCGAGGTTTGGCCGTAATGCCGTTCAAGAAACTTCTGCGCCTGCGGTTGCGAAATTTCGCAACCGCATTGAGAACCTCCGTCCCCACCTTCCCCCCAATCCCCTTTGAACGGCAATGCGACGGCTGTGCCATCGCTGTGCTTCGAAAAACGCAGCATGGCGATGGCATGGCTTGAGGATGGAACTTTGCCTGGGGACGAAGTTGCGTCCCCGCTTCCATATGCCGTCGAGCAGTTCGTTTTGGTTGACAAATGGGGGCGTTCGCCAGACACCCACTTTGATTGTTGGTCTGGACGGTTGGGGAGGCTCGGCACCTTTTTTACGGGCTGACCAGGTTGACGGAGGTAAACGAACCCTAACTGATGGGATCAGGAAGGCAAGAACCACCTTCCTGAACCCGTCGTTATCCCATGGTTTTTTGCTTCATTGGTGCTGGCGAACAGCCCCAATGTGTGTTATTTGAAGAAAACAACTTTGTACACACCTGAACCGAGCCCGTCTATTTCGTCTGCTTTCCCAGAACCTCAGACCTTAGGGCCCATATTTACGAGCAGACGCCGCACAGGAGGTGGCCGAATTCCAGATCCGGGTCCAGTTAGACTGATTCTTGCGAAAAACGGTAACTACGTGCTAGGAGTGCGAAGACCGACATTTCCAGCCGCTCGCGACGAGAAAAAATCGTGGCGACTCACGCATTTGGGAATTGATAGGAACGACTCCACACAATTTGCACTTGCGCTGTAACATCCTTACCTCCAACAGGCGTCACAATCAACCTCGACCCGTCCTTTTCGCGACGCTATATATAGGAATGCGCCCTCGCTCGGATCCCTAGACAACTCATCAATGTGCTATTAGCTGAAGGCACGCAAAGTCTTGCGCCTCTCGCCACCAGCTACCTGTTGGAGAATCGAGTTTCTGCCGCCCCAGCCCTTTGCACACAAGCAGCAGCAAGGGGGAATGTCGGCGATGAATCAGAGCTTCGGGAAGTACTTCGAAAGTTCCACCACCAATCAGATTTCAGCCGAAGACTCGATATAGTTCAAAGCTGCCTTCAAACCGAAGTGTTGGCAGTTTCTACAGGTTTCTACACATCAGAATCAGCTATAACAGAAATATCCAGAGTTTTCTTATTCATGCACCTCATGTGGCACTCAAAGTCACTCAAGGTCCATCCAATCTAGATTGTGCCCAAGTTACCAGGGAAGTTACATTGTCTATCAGCCTAGTTTGAGCTTTCAATCCGTCTTGTTTGTGATGCCTAGAGTTGTGCTTTAGTGGGCTTGTTAATCTTGAACATAGTGAAGTTTTACCTCATCCAGTCAATTCCAGCAGCCCTGCTAAGACTTTCCAGCCAAGTTTCCAGCCCTCCAGTAGTCACAGCTACTCTGTTTTACAAGTTGGTATCAGAGCTTGTCGTTTCGATCAACCTAGCCCACCACGTTCCTATCCTAGCACCATACGAACATGGCGGGAGACAATCCATCTGGTCCTGCACTCCAGCCAGCCGGAGGAGCTTCAGAGTCAACATCAGCAGCTACTGGATTAGTGGAAGCAGTTGCACCAGGCAGTCCTTCAGCAACATACTCACCACTCACCTCCTTCATGCCTAAGCTTCACCTCCCCAAGTTCAACGGCAAAGATTTTCCAACATGGGCAACTCAGTTTGAGCTCACTGCATCCCTTCTGGATCTGTGGCCTTACTACACTGGAGAAGCAGCCAAACCAGCAGCAGATGCTTCAGAAGCTGAAAAACGACTTTACGAACGACGCAACAAGGAGGCCTTCCTCTACCTACTCAATAGCATTCACGAGCAGCAGTTGAAGTCGCTCCTGCCCTGTTCTACCAAGGCAAACAGTGCAGAGGAAGCATGGAGCCGACTGAAGACTATGCACCAGTCAAAATCCGAGAGCAGCCAAGCCGAGATGTGGAGCCGCTTCATGAATCTGAAGATGGAAGAAGATGAATCAGCACAAGCCTACCTACAACGAGCTGAAGCAATGCTGGAGGAAGCAGCAGCGATCGGCTTGGAGATTCCAGAGTCTCTTTTCAAGACCGTCATCCTCACCGGCCTTACACCGGAGTGGGACACTTTCCGTGCAACACTACAAGCGCTCCCGCAGTCAATGAAGAGTCGTGCGTTCATCTTTGAGGCCCTTGTCAACGAGCAGCAGAGTCGAGACCTTGCACGGAACAAGCGGAGTGACGAAGGTGCGTGGAGTGCTGCAGCAGCCACAAGATATGGCAACCAATTCCAGAGGCAAGGAAATTTCAGCCCAAACCGCCCTCAACCCTACTACGGTACGAAATTTCAGTCACCTTCCAACCCATACAAACCCTCTCGTTTTCCTCAGTCAAGTCCTCCCTATAAGTCCAGTCACTATGTCCAGCCAAGGCCTTCGATTCCCAATCAATACCAGCCTAGGAATGCAAGAGTCAATATGCCAAGAGTCAATAATTTCAGCCAAGCCCCGAATGCTAAAAAGTTTAATTTTGAGTGTTTTTGTTGTCATGAGTGGGGTCACCCGTGGTATGCTTGTCCTAAGAAGCCTCCTAATTGGGTCCCCCCACCTCAGCTACTATCTGAAAAAGGTAAGGCAGCCATAGCAAATATAGCAAGTCATTCTACAAGTCAAGATGAGTCCAAAGAGTCCGATGGTCCTGTCCTTTTTAACGCTGCTACTTGCATGCACGTTTTCTCTACTAGTAGTGAGGAGTTTATTCTTGATAGTGGCTGCTCTGAAACCATGACTCCCTATCAGTCCATTCTCAAGGATTTTCAGCCCTCATATGACTCAAAAGCTGTGACTCTTGCTGATCTTGGCAAAGTACCAATCAAAGGAGTCGGCAAGCTTGAGTTCGAAAAGGATGGTAAGTCATTTTGTGTCAATAAAGCTTTGTTTGTTCCTGATTTGGGAGCAAACTTGCTCTCAGCCGGACAACTCGAAGAGAAAGGTGCCTCCGTTCTCTTGCAAGGGGGGAAAGCCAAAGTGTGGGACAGTGCAGGAAATCTGGTGGCTGAAGGCGAGCGTACCGGGCGGCTCTACAAGATGAAGTTGGAGATTAAGCGCGGTGCTAGCAACACGAAGAACGACGTTGTCTCGCTTCCCGCTGTTTCAACCGATCAAGTCAACAACAAAGGGAGTATCTCCCAAGCTGAGGTATGGCATGCACGCTTGGGGCACGTGGGAGTGCAAGCATTGAAAGAGTTGGTAAATCACAAGAGCGTGGAAGGATTGAGTTTGAATGAAAGTGCAGTCAAGTCCCTTTCTTCCGTTCCATGTCCATCTTGTGTGGAAGGTAAACTAGCTAGAAAGCCATTCTTCCCTTCTAAGTCTCAGTCAAGGGACCTCCTAGAGTTGGTCCACACTGATGTCTTCGGCCCCATGCGAGACCCTACTCGAAACGGTAAGAGATATTTGGTGTCTTTCATTGATGACAAGAGTCGTTTCTCGTGGTCCTTTTTCATCAACACCAAGGATGAAGTTCACAAGTGTTTCAAGCAATGGCTAGCACTTGCTGAGAGAGAGTCAGGGAAGAAGTTACTCACCTTGAGGTCGGATCGAGGAGGTGAGTACATGGGGAAAGCGTTTCAGGGGGAGTTGTTGGCATTGGGCATCAAACAACAGTTCACTTGTCCCTATAGTCCTCAGCAAAATGGAGTGGCAGAGAGGTTTCATCGCACTATCCAGGCTATAACTACCACTTTCCTTCAGTTCAAAGGCCTTGACAAGCTCTGGTGGGGTGAGGCAATCACTATGGCAATTTATGTTCGCAACAGGAGACCCACAAGGCCCTTACCGGAAGGTGTAACGCCATATGAGGCTTGGTTTGGAGTTAAACCAGATCTGTCTATGCTTTGTGTTTTTGGTTCCATGGCCCAATACCGTGTTCCAGATGCAAAGAGACTCAAGCTGGACAGCAAAGCTCATTGGGGCCTCTTCATCGGCATGAGCAATGAGAGCAAGGGATGGGTCCTTTGGGATCCTGTCACCAAGCGAGAAGTGGTTTCAAGGGATGTTGTCTTCTATGAAGACATGTCCCTTGCAGGTTGGCATAAGTTTTCCTCTTCCTCCTCTCTACCCTCTATCCAACAGGAACCAGCAAGCGCACCTGAGGAAACAACACAAGAGGAGGAAGAAGATGACACCGATTCTG